CAGCCCTGGTGCTGGCCTTGCCACACCCAATGCTTGGGTGTTTGTGGAGGACCGAGCCCAGCTAACCCACGTTTCCAGGGGCAGAGACCCAGTCCAGCCCGGGCTCCAGCTCTCACCCGACACCAGTCAGGAGGCAAAGAGCTGGAGGAAACAGCCCAGCTGAGCACAAGCAAAGCAGAGAGGGGACAGCCAAGGGAGAGGCAGAAGCTGCCCGGGCTGTCCTTCCTACACCCCTAGGGTAGTGGGCTAGTCGTGCACAAGGAAGTCTCTGATGCCTTCTCTTACAGCTGTACCACGAGCCAGCTGCAATGACTGCGAGCTCCAGGAGGCCGGCACCACCAGGGAGGTCCTGGAGGGCTTCTGCGCCAGCGACTTCAGTGAGTACCGCGCTTCTCCCCCAGCCAGCTTGGGGAGCTGCAGAGACCCAGGGGATGGTGGGGTGGAGGGGAACCAAGCAGCACGAGCGTCTCCATGGCGGGCAGCACCCAGCGGGGTCAGCCCAGTGGCTGTCATGACTCCCATCCACATCACGCCGGGAAGCTCACTGTCCTTGCTCGAGCGGAGGGCTGGGAGCAGAGGGCTGTCCAGAGCTGTCAGCCACGCCATCCCCCACAGCACCAGTGCTGAGCTGTCCTGCCACTGCCTGGGTCTCTGGAGCAGAGGTGGAGCTGGAGCTCAGGGCAGGGCTGTGGGGGGCCCTCACCCAGCTGCTTCAAGTGATCCTAGCACCCCCTTTGCTCTCCCTGCTCCAGCAAAGGGCAGAGCCAGGATCAGCTCCAGGGAACACGCGGGTCTGCTCAGGAAGTTCCCAAGTTCTGTGCAGTCACGCTGATTGGGCAGGGAGGGGAAGCCTGGAGCTGGCTTTTTGGCCGCAGGAGGGACCCCAGTAGGACATCTCCATGTGTCTGTCTCCTGCTCCACCAGCTGCAAAAATCCGCATCTCCCGGAGGAACGCGACGTCCACCCTGGCCAGCTTCAGCCTGGACACCAGGGTGGAGATGCTGAAGCACGGCCCCCTGCTGTGGGCTGACACCTACCCCAAGCTGCAGCAGTGGCTGGACCTGGATGCCACGTGCGTGCACAACATCATGCGGGGGACGCAGGCGGGTGTCTACGTCGTCAGTGGGACCATGCACCAGGGCCGCCTGGTGGTGAACAAGGCCTACGACTGGCACAGGAGGAACCGAGCCCTGCAGCTGGCTGTGCGGCGCTGGAAGCAGCACCGGTGCCGCCTATAGGCTGGCAGGCTGCTCCAGCCCCTCTCCCACACACTGCTCCCTCCCCAGGCCTAGAGCATGACCCCTGCCACCTCTGGCCAGGGGAAGGGGCTCGGAGCAGCAGGCACTTGAGTGGGTCAGACATAGTTGCTGGCCAGGGGCCAGGCCAGAGCATCGCACCACGGGATCCCTGTAAGAGGCTAGGGAGGCACTGCTGCTCCTAGGAGCCCGAGGGTACAGCACTCTCCTCCCACCGCACTGGAGCCCAGCTGGAAGCAGCATCGCAGAGAAAGCGAAGGGGAGCCCTCAGGTCAGAGCTGCCCCATGGAGACACCCACTAATTAGCCCTGCCTGTTCCCTCCCAGCACCACGCCGTAGGCACTTCAGCGCTGTTACCGATCTGCGACACAGGGCCACTGGCTGTTCCAGGCACAGAGGTATCATGTGGGTCACCTGCCTGGCAGGAAAAGACAAGGGAGCTGCATCCTCCATCACACCTTGTACCCCCCAGGCTCCCTGTGCAGGGGAGCAAGGGCTTCGTTTTGTACTGCACTAGCACAGGGCAACACCAGGCGCAGCCCTCCGGCAGCCTCAACCCTGCAGCACCAGGCCAGGCCAGGCCAGGCCCAGAGCGGGGAGAGGCAGCGCCAGCATGAGAGCGTTCTGCTCTCCCACTGCCACAGATGTTCAGGGCAGTGGGCAAACTGGAGAAGGCAGAAAGCAGGGCAGTTGGAGGGGGTGGCTTTGGCCAGGCTGTTCAGGGAGCTGGAGAGGCAAGGTTATTATGGTAATATCTTTTATTGCACCAACTGCTCGTTAGCACCTTTGTTAGCACCTAATGATGCCCCTGACCTAGTGCCCTGGAGAAAGGGAAGCCCCAGGGCAGGATTTACTGCTTTCCCACAACAGGGAAGCTGATCACCAGCAAATCACTGTAAACATCCCCTAGCTGGAGATGCATCTGATACCATTGTCTCCCTAATGATGGGACTAATTGGCCACGAGACTTCCCTGAGGTCAGGGATGGAGTCCCCAGGCCTTCCCCTATTGAAATAGGGTCAGGGAGGTCAGCTCGGCTCTGGCCCTTGTCAGGAGGGAAGATCCCCCTTAGGTGTCAGCCCAGCTCAGCACTGCCTGCTGGTCTGTGAACAGCCAGGCTGCACAGGCCTTGCTTACAGTATGCAGTTAGCTGGGAACTGCTCCTCAAGAAAGATTTGCACTGACAGCCAGGAAATGCAGGGGTGGGGAAGACTTCCCGCTGCCCCCCTCACCCAGCGAGATCTCCAGTCCCAGGGCAAAGCAGAGCCAGCTGGAAGGAGGCCTCTTGTTGAACTCTGAGTACGTTCCTGCAGCACTGCCTCTCCAGAGCAAGTCCTCCCGGGTCAGACAGAGGGGCTGGAGTGCCAGGCTAAGTCTGCCGATGGTCCACAGCTTTCCTGAAGGCTGGGACCAGCTCTCTGAAGTAAACAGCATTCACAGAGACAAAGCAGCCAGGACCCAGGGAAACTGGACTAGCAAAACCCAATTGTCCTGTACCCCTAGGCCACACTGTCTCACTGCTCTTATCACGGGGGTGACTGTTGGAAGACATTCGCTCCACATCTGGGTCCTCTCCCGCTGCCAGAAGGAACACTGTTGGAACGTGTGAGTTATGAATACTGTGTATTCAGACCCGATGATGACCGAGCTGTGGGTTTCTGAAGGATGCTTGTTGCATTAAAGGGATCCAACAAGAAACGCGTGTGGTTCGTTCTGTGTCAGCCACTGT